TATACCATAATGGTAACCTCTATTAAATAAGTAATATTGGATTATTATACCACACCATCGGTCTCTATTATTGGTTTGAGGTTAAGTTTATATTTCACAATTTTTTTTATGTTCTTTTGTTTTTTTTTTCAACCGATTTCAAAAAGAAGCAGGTTCTCACTTCGGTTGTATTTTTTATTATGTTTGTTACCTCAGAACTCTGTCAGTTATAAATCGATTTGGAATTTTTTTTTTTATCTGTAAATATATACTTACAAATTAGTCTCATAGAAAGTTTATAAAAATCGGTTCAATGGTTTCGTTTTTAAATTAAACTTATGGATCTTGTTACATTTGAACTTTTTTTGTGGAACACGATCTTATTGTCTGTTATACATGTTAATTTATTACTTCACTAACCAGTTCAAAAGCACTACCAACTGAGAATATGCGAAATATTCGACTGTTGCTTTTTTACATACATAGTTTTCATTTGGTTAACATATTGAATATGTTTAAAATACTCGTAAACACTCGTGCACTACATGCATGAACAATTAGTGTTTTAAATGTTTTACGTAGTGGAATTGAAAATGGTTACATGTATATTTCATGTAATGTAGAATAGCAAGCAAACTGATGGCCCACCGGATGGAAAGTGGTAACCGTCGCCTATAGACATGAACAGTACCATGGACATGACAGAGTAGACTGTGCCGCCAATGATACCCTTCATGCGCTGCCAATCCTGAGGATTAAGGAGGTGCCTCTGTACCCTGTAATTTCACTGCCATATCTCACCTCTTCAAACCGAAACACAGCCATGCAAACACAACTGCTTCATGGCAGAAAACGAATGGGACAGAGATACCCAAGCAATATGGCTGCGCTATCAGCATACACTGATAAGGCACCAGTTAGTGATATTAAGTCCACCGGTGTATCGTTACAAGGACACCAGAATTACAATAATTTCCAGGAAGGACCGCGTGGAGGTCGAACAGACAGTGTATAGAGACAAGTAACATTGCTACTCTTTATATGCAGTCTATACACTATTCTCAACTGATATCAAAAAAAGAGGAAGTTCTCACTTCGTCCGTACCTCCGTCATTTATAAAGCAATTTGGGAAATTCTTTTTTGCCTTAAAAGATACTTTCAGATTGCTTTCATAGAAATTTTAATCGAAATACATTTTTTGTTAATTATTTCAGCCGTTAACTGTCCACTGCTGAACATAAGCCTTCCCCATAACGGGAGTTTTGCTAGTAGTTGCCACACTTGGCAGGCAGGTTGGCAACCGCAGTTAGACTTTACAGATATTTTAAGAGGGACACTGATGCCCATCCCTCGCCCTCCCTTAGTCGACTCTTACAACACCCACGGGAAAGTAAGGGGCGGTCTATTTTATTTCGTGACCACACGGCGATAAATTTATAGCTAAATAAATTTATAGATAGATAAATAGATTTAGTAATTTAATTTTTTTTTCGATTTATTTCTAACTGGTTTTGGCACGATCGAAATCGGTTTTGTTTTTTGCAAAACACAATCTTAAATTTTTAACATTATTCTCCCAGGTCATCGACCACCGTGTAAAATATTCAGCCATATTTATTCATATAGGCAAAGAAATAAACAAATTACTTACGAGGAAGATTCGTACAATACCTCAGGGTGACATATAGTTTGATCACAACAACAATGAGAGGAAGGAAATAGGAAATTATACGCTTAATTGTTAGGCTGAGTGTATTCACCTCCAAGGTCAGGACTAGTTGGCAGAGGACTGTGAAAGCCGATATTTTAATATCTATTGTGCTTTTTTTTATCTTGTAAATAAGCATGGGTGATATGAGTACCGTTCCAATATTTATATATTAGATTCCTCTAGACATGTTTCAACCGTGAAACAGTTGTGTTTGCATGGCTGTGTTTCGGTTTGAAGGGTGAGATATGGCGTGAATTTACAGGCTACAGAGGAATAACAGCTGAGTCCTCAGGAATGGCAACGCATGGGGAGTATCATGGGCGAAACAGTATACTCTGTTATGTCCATGGTACTGCTCATGTCTATAGGCGACGGTTACCACTTTCCATCAGGTGGGCGGTCAGCTTGTTTGCCATTCTAAGTTGTATAAAAAAAACATTGACAATGGAAAAAAGGTTTTTTTTTTTTTAATGGATGATAATGGAATAATAACTCAGTTTGCGCTATTGGTATACACTGGCGAGATACTAGTGAGGGATGATAGGTGAAAATGAACCTGATCAGTTAGCTCATCATGACGTTTTTAACAATAAATCAATTACGATAGTTTCCAGGGGGAACCACGAGGAGGCCAACCTAGCAAGGGGGCCACTAATCCTCTAATGAGGATTAGTGGCCCCCTTGGGATTCTTAGTAATCTAAGAATCCCTTCTCGCCCCTAAAAAAGGTTATCATCCATATAAATTTTGATCAGCTGCTACATTTCGATACTATATTTTGGATAACTAATATTTTATAGATTCGTTATTGGGCCTATAAATAGATATTGCCCACCCCAACTTGTAAATATAAATATTTTATTTTTTTATTTTTTTTATACAACTTAGAATGGCAAACAAGCTGATGGCCTACCTGATGGAAAGTGGTAACCATCGCCTATAGACATGAGCAGTACCATAAATATAAATATTATATTACTGAACACATTACATAATGCATTCAATTCAAAGTCAAGTGATAGGCGTACTTAAATACTTTTTGCTCATATATAATGAGTCGAAATGCCATAAATCAGGCAATTTTATTTTTATAATTATTTTTATTAGTGACACTTTTTGCGCCAACTAGCTACCGTCTTTTACAGCCGTTCTAAAGGCACAGTAATCGTTTACCATCAGATTGACTATACGGTTGTATATATATATATATATATATATATATATATATATATATATATCTATATATATATTATAACTTTGAATGGCATACAATCTGACGACCCTCCTGATGAGAGGGGGGGGGGAGGGATTGTTAGCAATGGAGTTTAACAGCCTTATTGTTAGCAAGATACTCTTATCAGGTCGACCTCCACGTGGCTCCCCCTGGAAACCATCGTGAATAGTTCTTGTTGAATTCATTACGATAAGCTAATTAACCTGCTTCATCCTCACATATCATCTCTTACTGGTGCCCCGTCAGTGTATACCAATAGCGCAGGCGGGGTACCATTTCATTATCACCCATTTTAGGAAAAACACCCGCCTGATGGAAAGTGGTAATCAATGCCTATAGACATAAACAGTGTCATGGACTTAACAGAGTATAAAATCTAAAGACTAAAAACGTATGAGGCCGATCTTCGACGGCGATAGATGGGCGATGGAAGATTGTTGCTTCACAGAAATATATTTACAGCAATATTTTGTTTGTAGCAACCATACAATAACAATTTTCTATTTGCTAATCATCGCCTTCATCATCATTTCATCCGTTGTTCACTGCTGAACATAAGTTTCCCTATAGAGGCTACTAGCCCATGATCACCCGTAACACCAGAGGGATTGCAGGTGTGCTTACAGCCTTTTAAAAAAGGATATTCTCTTTTCTTGAAGGTTATGATGTCATATTGCCAGTAGTTTCCTTTTATGCTTGGCAGATGGGTTGGCAAACGCAGTTTGGCTTTTGGTGAAGTTTAAAAAGGTACGCTGCTGCCCAACCTTCGACCGTTAAGTTGTCTTAGTCGCCTCTTACGACACTCATTGAGAAAAGAAGGGGTAGCCCATTCTATGTCACACGGTAGTCGCCCAATTTATTTTTTAGATTGCATTGCCAAAATAATCTAAAAAAATAAATTGGGCGAGTGTACCGGTGTCGCGTAGGTTCCAACAATGCTGCACTTTTTGTAATGACAGTGAATTTCTCGTACGGGAAACCGTTACAAATACTTTTTACTAGTGAAACCCGTTGATCTGTCAAAAAAATAACGAGGTCAATGGATATTCTGTGATGGAGTTCATTGGATAATATTACTAGGGTTTTTGAAAATAGAATACAGCCCATGTTACTCGATGTGTAGCTTTCTATAGATGAAATTTTTTTTTTTTTAATTAAATTTTAAGTTATTATTTACCTATTAATAACTAACTTCTTGTTAGAAAAAGTAAAACCAATGCTTTTTTGACCACATCTAGATGGCGTATAGATAAATAGATCATTTATTTGTGTTACTTACAACACACAAATAACAACAAACATAATTAGACATACGCAAAAAAAAATAAGTAACACAATAATTCCATTCGTGCGTGTGCCATAGTAACACAAAATGCCCACAACTCAGTTTATTGTTTTGCCCTCAAAAGAGAAAAACACTGATATTCTGTTGTGGTCAAAAGCCAAAGCATATCAAAATAAAACATACACCAGATTTGAAGTGACAGAAAAATAATAATAAAAACACAGCATTCTTTTAGATGGTCTCGGAACAAACATATTGATAGCCGGACAAAATTTCTAAAAAATATTGTTTTGGTATCTATTAGTCTTATTAAGACCCCTTATATTCATTTTTCTTAAATATCTATCATGTACAGACATCGTCTAGTTACAATTGTATTATATATTTGTAAGATTATGTATTGAACATCAATTACATAGGTACATAAAAAATGTCGTAAATCAAACAAAGGAGTCCACTATTCCCAGGATTTTGGGGTATCATTATTCACAAGTTTTGAGATTGCTATATTCTTCTACTTTTGCGGGATAGGAAGTGAGATCAAATTGTCAGAAATTTCTATCTTTACATATATCTCTTGCATTCTGCACTTCCATGACCAATCTCATTCATGTACGCCAGTTCCATAAACTCTTGACTCCTCCTTCATAAAGAACATGGTCTATCTGATCATTTTTAAAGTCGCCGAAACCAAATATGGACTATACCAATTTTCCAACACTATTCGATATAAAACAATCCCATTACCCCATTTTAATGATTTACTCTAAGTTTAAAATATTCTTTTCCAGACTTACTGCATCGACGCCCAAGTTCCTGACTCTGCTTGCACCGCCACTTCATATCTGACTGGTGTGAAAACCAAGTATGGAGTGATAGGCCTTGATGGAAATGTTACCAGAGGATCTTGCTACTCGCAGCTGTACGAGAAGAACTGGGCTCCTTCAATTGGTCACTGGGCGCTGGAACACGGGTTAGACGTCGGTGAGTATATTTAATATATGTATTCTAGTAATAACCAGATCAAGACTTTGTACGAAAATCGTCTGCATGTGTATATTTGCCTCATTCGTGTTTCTTCTATGAAGCAGCTGTACTTGCATGACTGTCTTTCTGTTTGAAGAGTGGAATATGGCAATTTAATCACAAAGCACAGAGGTATAGCATCGTAGTTCGGGAGAAAAGATTATAGTAATGAAAATCTAAAAGCCTTATTGCTTGCAATGTACTCTATCAGGTCGACCTCCTGGCGGTTCCCCCTAAAAACCATCGTGATTGATTCATTGATAAATTTGTAATAATAGGCTAACTGACCTGCTTCCTCTTCACTGGTGCTCTGCCAATGTATACCAATAACGCAGGCGGGTTACCGTTGCTTTATCATTATTACAAAAAAATATAGTCCGAGGAAAAAGGATTGTAGTAATGAGGGTCTAAAAGCCCTGTTGCTGGCAATATACCCTTCAATACCAATATCAAATCCACCTCCACGCAGTTCCCTCTGAAAACCATTGTAGTAATTCTTTATCACGATAGACCAATAGACCTGCTTTCATCTTCGTCTAATGTCACTCACTGGTATACCGCCAGCATATTACGATAGTACAGGCGGCTATACCATTCCATTTTCACCTATTAAAAAAAATACATCGAAATCTTCTGGAATGTCAATACGTGAGGGTACCGTGACCATCACTGTGCAGTCTATAGTGCCTGTAGCCTGTAGTGCTGTTCATATATTTATCGGCGACGGTTACCACTTCCCATCAAGTAGGCAGTCAGCTTGTATGCTGTTCTAAGCATCATAAAAAAGACATATTCATACAAATAGCCGTGTTTGCGTAATTAATGTAATGAAAATGGGATGGTAATTAACCCCACTTGCGCTATCAGTATACTATGGCGGGGTACCAGCGAAGAATGATAAGTGAGATTGAAATCAGGTCAGTTCGTCCATTGACGAATTCATCATTATTTAATCACTTAATTGCAATAGTCTTTAGGTTAGACCGCGTAAAGGATTGCTAGTCATTAGCTATTAATTTCCATTATTTACAATCCATCCTCCCTCCCGAAATTTCGGTTATATCGTCATAGTCGTAGAATACCGACGGATCTGACAAATATTACATATAAAGATCCGTCAGTATTCTACGACTATGACGATATGGGTGGTATAATATATAAACGACCTTGAACGAATAATCTTTTATTTGCAACATCTTATATTTTCTGCAATCCCTAAATTTATACAAGAAATTTAATTATGTAAAGTACGGTAGCCAGACCTTCATACTCGTAACACAGGATTTTCCTAGCATGGAGGCGAGATACACTTCCTGTGAATCAATATGTAATGTATAATAAATTTGAATGTAAGTTTGTTTGTTTGTTACCTTTCTCACTACATGTCTATAGGCGACGGTTACCACTTTCCATCAGGTGGGCCGTCAGCTTGTTTGCCATTCTAAGTTGTATAAAAAAAAAACTTTTTACGTCTTAACCAATCATTATAATATTTGGTATACGCTTACTATATGGGATGGAGAAGGATATAGACTACTATATATCCCTGTCTGTAAACATATCTCAGTCACGTGTAAGAAGTCGCAGGTAAAAGCTAGTAGGGAATAAAAGAACATAGCAACAAATACAATAGACGTTTTATGTAATATTCATGGTGCCGTTCATGTCTGTAGCGATGGTTACTGCATTAATTACGTATTTATTAGTATTTAATAATGATTTTAATGACATTATAACCTTGCAATGAAACGTGACGGCAATATTTTCAGAATTTGCAGCGCTATAAAGTGGAGCAAATTATCCTAGAATGAATTGTTTTGTTGAGTAGTGATTTACCTTATTTTACTTATAAAATTTTCCTGCTACATCATCTCCGTTGAGTGAACATTCAATGAAATGTTTTAATTATAACAACGCTAGTCTCTGTAGATCTAAAACTAGCGTCTGTTCGACTGTAAGTGTCTGTTCGACTTAGCCAATTGAATTTAGATTTTTAACTACCTAATTTTTAATTGCACCATTTTAAAAGCTAGAAGTTAACTTTTTAGTTATTAGAAATATTAGAACATTACTTTTAAGGTAATTGTTCATTATAATGTTTCTTCAAATGATAGACAAGAAGAATAAATCTTCTCTGTCTTTTCAATCTATATAGAGTCTCTGTTTGAATACTTTATAACACCATTTTTAATACTTTGCACCAAGCTACAAGTATTATTGTACTTTTAAAATTTATGTGAAATTATCTACAACAATATAAAGTAATAATTAAGATTGTGTTCTAGAAAAAAAAAAACGACGTCAATTATCGACGCAAATCCAGTAATTTTTATTTAATAACTATTGAATCGCTTTTGATAGAATTTCTATAAGGAAAATCTGAAAGTGTATTTTTTAAGATAAAAAGAATTCTCCAATTTGTTTATAACTAACGAAGTTACGAAGCAACCAGTAAAAAAATCCACCAAATCGAAAATTTCCTTATTTGAAGTCGGTTAAAAAGTATTATACTTTAATGATTACTGTTCCCGTTTCTGTCTTCACTCAGCTGTGGTTACACAATTATTTAATGGTTTAAAAAATGAGATCGTAATTGCCTCGCCTTTTCCCATTTATTTAGGGTCGGCGCAGTATGTTTTCTTTTTCCATAAATCCCTGTCAACTGTCATTCGCTTTTATGCATATCATCTTTCACACAGTGCATCTACCTTTTCTTTGATCTTCCCCTCCCTTTACATCCATCCACTGGCATAGTTAACACTTTCTTTAAAAATGAGATATATCGTAAATGTCACCTTAGTCCGCAGGATTGGCAACACATAACTGACAGCATAGGTGTTACACCACGGTGTATGATATTCATGCCATGACGGTATTTATATCTATTGGCGACAGTTACCACTTTTCATTATGTACTCAATTAGTCTATCTACTTTTATGTAATTGTTAAAGAAATACTAAAATCAATTGGAAGTATATTAAAATTTATTGTAAGTACCAACTTCCAATATCATCTTATCACAATAGAGACCTGACGTCAATCAGAACAAAAGATCTGCACAACTACCAGTATGTCTTCATTAACATAAAAATTAAGTATAATGGTTTATTGTTTACGAATAAATATGATATATAGCTCACAGTGTCTTCACTGTCCTTTATTGCATATAACAATTAAAAAGATATTTAATTTTCCAATAACATTATTTGTATATTTATGTATATTATAAATTATTTATCTTTATATACATATATGTACATACATACATACATACATATCTGTCACGCCTGTCTGCCATTAGGGTAGACAGAAACAATGGAACGTCAAATGCTTCGATTCAAAGAAACCTCTTTCGCTTCTTCCACATTCTTCTTCTTTCTACATATATGTATATATATTTATGTGTTAATTTATGATTATAAATTCAGAAATGAAATATTTAATAAAACTTAATCTGTATCATTAGTATTAAACTGTACATAGTAAATTAAAGTAGCTTGACTCTTTATGAATGTATTTAAATTATTAATAAATTTCGACTATTTGTTTAGAGTGTATGTGAGAATGGCGCCCTCTAATATTAAAAGTTTTTAGTCTGCATTTGTTATAGAGGCCTGTGATGCCAGTTTCCGCTATAGTATGAAGCAAGCTAGAATAATTTTGAAGTAATCCAAACATAAATTAGACTAATTCAAAAGTTTAAGCTAGGATTCGAATTGCCCATTTAAGTTCCTAAAATTTTTTATATATATTTTTAATATAGAATACATATATCATACACTTGAATGGTTAGTCGCGTACTACCAATGCGTCACGAGATACCCGCCGAGTCGATTATCTGTTTGTCGCATCGTCTACAAATCTCAATTGACTTGACTGAGTGACAAACGTCCAAACAGAATCATAATTCTTTCATGGCACGAATGGCAAAAAAAAGCCGAACCACCTGATGGAAAATGGTGGATGGAATATGAAGATTAGAGAACTATGACACCTACTGTACCTGTCATTCATTGTCATCCCTGAGAATTGTAATAGCTCTGTACATTGTAATTATACAGCCATATTCAACACTTCTTATTTAAACATAGTCATGCAAATATATACAATGGTCAATTGCAGAATAGACAATCCTGCAAGTCTTAGCCGTTGTTCCTTGTACGCACCGCAACGCTGCATGTGATTGCGTGCACGTCGACTACTATCGGCACCGCCGGTTCGCACCTGTACTGCTCAGTGTGCTCCCACTTATCAGGCTATTTCTCTGCTCAATTTTCTGATTACTCAGCAGCCAGATATTAAAATATTTATTGATAAATTAGATATTTTTTCAAATGTTGTTTAATTTTTTTAAGTTTGCAAAATAAAGCTATGACTCACTACATATTTTGGAATACTGTAAATGTACATAGCAATTTACAAATAAATAAATAATCGGCAAAGAAATTAATTAAACTGAAGTACTCATGCGGACGTGATTGGATGTGTGTGTGTAGTACATGCGCGTATCCGTGTGTGGGTGCGCGAATGTGCGCTTACGCATGTGTGTAGTAATTTAGCCTCTTTATATTATTCCTCATGATTACCAGGTCTGGTGACAACGACACGTGTGACCCATGCTTCCCCAGCAGGCATGTACGCACACAGCTCTGAACGCAACTGGGAGTCGGACGCTGACGTCCCAGACGAATGTCTCGCCATGGGCTGCGAGGACATCGCTCATCAGTTGGTTTTCAATGAGCCAGGCCGCAGATTCAAGGTAAAAAATCCATACCTACTTACTATCCTTAATAATATTAAATGTGAAAATGAATTTACTTCTATGTTTGTTTAGGAGTAATTAACTTTTAGCGCTTTAATGGTTAAGCAATTATGAAATTTGTTATGAACGTAATACCTAATGAACCTAATAGCATAGGCCTCAGGAATCTTAACTCAGCTTGTTTTCCATTCAAAGGACCATATAAAAAGTTAAGCTGTCAAGTATTTTGATTATTCCTTTCGAAATTTTTTATTGAAAAAAATAAATAATTTTGTCTATTTGCGCATTTAAAGTTAATTACAGGGTTACAGCCATATTTCTCTAAAGAAACAATTAAAAAAACTTCAAAAATTTCGAAATAATAAAAATAAAAATACTGAACATGTGTCTCCTTAGAATTAAAATGATCATTGATTATTTTACTCTACAATTATGACAAATTGTATTTCCAATTTTTTTTATGAATGTAAAAGGAAGGATAATTGCCTGCATTGTCGATATACATATGCTGGCAGGTCATCAGTAACGGATGATAAGTTAGTATGAAAGCAGGTTATTTGGTCTATCATAACTAATTCAACAAGAATTACCCGGAAGGACAGGAACCAACAACAGTAACAACAGGAACTGCCTGGATTTTAACCTCATAGGGCTGGCAATGGGGCTATTAGAGCTCATTATTAACAATCCCTTTCCTCTCTAACTTTCCAGATTATACTTGGTGGCGGAAGACAAGAATTCCTCCCCAACGTAACAGGCAGTACAGGCAGAAGACTTGACGGCGTGGACCTGATAGAGAAGTGGCAGAAAGACAAAGTGGAGAGGAACGTGTCGTACGCATACGTTAATGACAAGAGTGAACTAATGAAGGTCCTTCATCCTAGCTTTTTCATTAACCTTAACTTTTTGATGATGCACATAAAAATTTGTCGGTTATCGATTAAATCACCAGTTAGTGTAACAGTTAACTCTCAAAATTATTATATATTTGATGCACTCGGCTGTGTCATAAAAAATTAAGTTAAATCCAAATAAACAACCAATGCATCCATTACTATCTTATTCCCAGGTATACAACTCAGATGAACTCCCAGAATACCTACTGGGCTTATTCCATGACGACCATATGGCATACCACCTCAAATCTAGCAGCAACCAACCTACTCTCGAGGAGATGGTGGAGATCGCCATCAAAATGCTCAGCAAAAGTACCAAAGGGTATTTTCTTTTCGTTGAAGGTAATATTTTTTTTTATTTCCCATTTATTTCTATATACCACTCATATCAACTTTTCTTAAATATCTTCTATGTACAAACATCGTCTATTCACAATATTATTATATTAGAAAGAAAGATTTTCTTTCAAGCTTTTAATGAACTTGCAATATTTGTTTCTATATTAGTTGAAATCAAATCTCGTAAAATGAGCCAGTTTCTTCTGACCGACTTTACTGAAATTTTGCTTACATCTTTAATTATGGTGACAATATAATAATTATGCAATATCAACATTTAGTATATATTCAAAATGGCCGCCACCACAAAATGGCGGATTATATTATAAAAGCTTTTTCTTGAAAATGTTTAGATACAGTTCTGTTTTACTATTGTTACTGTAAAATAAAATGGATTATAAAATACGAGAATCAACCCGATCATTTAGGTAAAGTATATAAAAATAACTTTACCTTAAACAAAATAAGCCTATGGTACAATATAGCTATGACCCACACTAGGCAAAGCTTGTATCGTGGAAATCAAATATGATAATTAACTTGAATTATCCCAACATATTAATTAAACCAATCAATTAAAAGTAAATAGGTACAATCAATTTTTTATTATTATTACAGGTGGAAGAATAGACCACGCACACCATGATAGTCTAGCGCATTTAGCTTTAGATGAAACAGTGGAGTATTCTAAAGCTGTAAAGAAAGCCAAGGAAATGACCAACGAGGAAGACACTTTGATAGTAGTCAGTTCAGATCACGCTCACACGATGACTGTAGCTGGTTACCCCTCAAGGGGTAACGATATATTAGGGCTGGTGGATACAACGAACGGGGACGATGGAATACCGTACACTACCATCAGTTATGCTAATGGTAAAGCACCTTCCATTGGAGCTGATGGGAAAAGAGTTGATGTCAGTTTACATCAGATGTTTACTTCACGTAAGTCATTTTATTGTTAGTCGTTTATCAGTTTCTAAGAATTGAAGTCAGGCAGGTGAACGGTCATAAAACTAAAAGTCAAAACCTTGTGTAATATAAATAAAATTGTAGTACGTTGACCCCAAATAACTGAAATAATAGCAGGAAGATGATGATAATAATTGAAGTTGGTTTGACCACAATCTTAGCTGATGTCAAGTAATAACGTGGTCTTAGAAATTGACAGGCGGATTGACAACCGCAGTTAGGCTTTGGAGATGTTTTAAGAGGGACGCTGCTACCCGTCCCTAGCCCACCCTTAGTTGCCTTTTACGACACTCACGGAAATGGAATATACCGGGACCAGACGGCGTAGATAACTTATCGAAAATGAGTAAAATATAAATACTAGAAAGAATCTAAACTTGATACCGATTGGTTACCGCAAAATACTTTATAGGATAGGCAAAGAGATTCTTTTCGCTATTCGGTATTTGAGAATTCGGTATTCGGATCTCTTTCTTAGCTTTACATATATCTTTTCCATTACTAGTATATACCAATACCGAAGACTCCTTGCTGGTATATTTACTTTATTTTAATACTTTCTAGGAAACCCTGATTACTCGTACCCTAGCCTAGTTCCCCTCGACTCTGAGACACATGGCGGGGAGGACGTGGCTGTCTTCGCATCAGGACCCTGGCAGCACTTGTTCACCTCTAGCTACGAACAAAACGTAATCCCTCATCTGATGGCATACGCTATGTGTATCGGTGATGAGCAGCATGCCAATTGTAAATCTAGTGGAACCAATATTCAGTCTAGTATATTATATATTAGTATATTTTCTATAGTAATAACAATAGGATTATATTATAATTAGCCATTGACTTAAAAAATATAAGGTTGTGATTTGTCTATATTTTAATCGCATGCAGTAATGTTTTGCATTCATTTTGGGGCTCTTCAATTTGTATATGTGATTTTTTTTATACTAATTTTCAAAATTAGTTTTCGTATAAGTAATGTAAAATAATTTCTTTCCAACAATGTTTCCTATTAAGAAATATCATGCTTTTGTATATAACACAGGTTTTAATAAATATTTACATAGAAATAAGTAATGTAACATAATTATAAATAGCATCATAGTGAGAGAACGAATGTATTTCCATAGATTTAAAAGATTTTTCTGTAGTAGTGAAATATTTTTTTCAACTTGTAACCTTTTTTTTTCTTTTTCAAACTTGCATTTTCAACTTACATAATTTACCTTGTTCTTTTTTATTCATAGATATTTTACTATCAATTTTTGAAATTTGAATCTTTAATTTTTTCCTTTTTTCTCCCAAATTCTTGCATCTATCAACTCGAAGCTTATTTCTTTATTACAACACTCAAATTGTAATATTTTTTGTCAATTTCTAAGCACGTAGCATCACCTATTGTTATTATAGTTCATATTAAAAAATTGAAGTGCACCAAAATTATTGCATCATTAATGTTCTATATATTTCTATATAGTAAAATTATAAAAGTACATACAGAAAGTACAACATTTAAGAACAGAGGGCCTACCATGAAATGTTTTCCGAAATTTCGGGTCCGAACGAAACACAAATTGATGTGAAAATTACATTATATATACTTTAAAAAATATTTGAAATGCCAGAATATCATTCCTTTGGACATTTATGGTAGGATTTATGACGAACAAAAGGTTAAACTCCATTTACTGGATCGATTCCGTTATGAACAAAAACACGAAATTGAGTCCGAAAATTCGGAATATCATTTCATGGTAGACCCTCAGTTCTCGGAATGTCGTTGATTTGTGACAAACATTGAATCGAATTCGATCCAATCCAAAAATCGAATATTTACTTTTAAGGTTATTTCGATGAGTTCATATTACTTTCATGCATATTTTATTATTATGCAAGAAAAAAATATTTTAATCATGTTAGAAATAAAGTGTTAGTTACCCTTTAAGTTTTTATTAGTAATATTGCTTCCTGCTGTATATTTTTGCTTTGTATTTTATTCATAAGCTGTAGATCTCTGTAGATATTTATGACAGGTCAATTTATATTAGAAAAGTGTCTATTAACTATGAGCAAATATCAAACTTATTTTAAAATGATTATTACTAATTTGCATTTTTTCTTTTTGTGTACAATTTAAAAGGTAAAAGTGCCTTTTCTTTTAATTATTTTAATAACTTTTAGAAATCTTGTAGTTAGAATAGAAAATATGATATCAATAAAATAAAAAAGCATTTAATTAAATATAATAGTAAAGTTATAGTAAATTCTAGTTTTCAAGGAATATATTAAATATTCCTTGAAAATAAGAAAGGCAACAAATAAGGCACCTAAATCCATTAAATTTAGAATTTTAATAATTCTTGAATTTTTTTACAAACAAACACTAAATATGTTTTTTTTTTTTGTAAATATAATAAAATAAATAATACTACAAAATGGAAAACACCAAGATAAACAGACATACTTAAGAATAACTTTTTTTTTATTTCTACCAAACTATGAAATGAAAACTATTATGAAAATCTATAAAGACATTTCCAAAACTTCTCTCTGCATACAAACATCTTTTTCGTACTGTACTGGGTTGACTGGAAGAGATCTCTGACAGAGATAAGTCCACCCTTGCTGACAACATTTATAAATACATTATTTTATATGTAACTTACAAGTGCAATAAAGATATATATATATATATATATATATATATATATATATATATATATATATATATATATATATATATATATATATATATATATAATCTATTTTCAACCGACTTCAAAAAACGAAGAAGGTTCTCATAATTTTTTTCCCATAATAGGTGGAATTCTTTGATTAATTGATTTTCAAATAGTAATATAAATAGTGACTTATTTTAAAAATTTAATACCTACTGATGAAATTGGAATATTAGATCTAAATTTTCTTATTTATATAATAAATTTAGATATAAATTTATTATATAGGTAATATTTTTTTAGTAAACCGCCACTAGTACAGAATTATATTATAGTACAATAATTTCTAGGCTGTTATAGTATTAAAAACGTTACATTCCTATAATGCAATCTTAGATTATATAGATAGAGCATCAAGTCTCAAAAACGGGTCAACATTTTGTCAAATTAGCTGACTCTTTTTATATCAGTGTTCTATATACTTACGCATATAATGTATCTCGACGTATCTATATTTAATTATTTAATAAATAAAATTAGTTTTTACGCACTAGAAAGATGCAAAAATTATAAAACAAAATAAGTACAAAAGTTATAAACGAAACGTTCATAACTATTTATCACGCAAAATTGTATAAAAAAGTTGACCCGTTTTTCTCGAAGCATTTGTATGGAGAAACTCTATCCATATAATTCAATATTATAATGTACATATTAGATAAGTAATATAAATAATTAGTAGAATTATTATTTTTGTTGTTTTTTGTATAATAAATTGACATATTTGGATGTTTATTAGAACAACAAAATAAATAAACGATATAATGTAAATAATTCTTATTAATTATGTTTAAACAAAAATAAATAATATCTAGTATAAATAAGAAGTGATTGTTTTATTTTGTTTGTTACTTAACTTTTTTTTTTGTCAATTTACAAACACTACATTTTTTTTTTTTTTTTACATTGCATTTGGAAAAGCGTCATCTGTGTTTCTTGACTTGAAACAGTAATAACATTTACTTTCACCTTCAAAAAACATAATGCTTCAGGTGATACAACCATGAAGTTATGTTGAAAATACCAATAGATGGCATAATTATTTTATAACTAGCTTTTAACTGCGACTTCGTGTGTGTAGTCGGGATATGTTTTAATAGACAATAATAGAATAGTAACCCTATGCTATCGGTAAACACTGACGGGACACCAATGAGGGATGGGAAATGAGGAAAAAGCAGGTCCGTTACCCATCATGATGAATCCACAAGAATAGGCCACCACTTCCTTTCCCGTGGTTGTCATAAGAACCGACTAAGGGAGGGCGAGGGATGGGCCCCATTTAGATGGGCAGCGTCCCTTTTAAAACATCTGTAAAATTTAACTGCGGTTGCCAATCCGCCTTTCAAGTGTGGCAGCTACTGGCAAAACCCTCCAAAGCGGAGACTTATGTTCAGCAGTGAACAGTTAAAGGCTGTTATGATGATGACGTTTCATTCATTTATATATTTCATTATACAGGAAAAAGTTGTTGCTAATGGGAATTAGAGGCTACATTATATCAATATACAGTATATTCAGGTTGACTTTTAAGCGGTCCACTCTGAAAACTATTGTAGTTAAATTTAGATAGATTCATTACGGTTGACTAACTGACCTATTTTCATCCTCACCTATCATCATTCACTGGTTTTCCATTATCATATACCGATTTTTTTTATGTGTAATAATGGAATGGCAACCCCACCCGCGCTATCGGTATACTCCGGCGGGGCACCAATAAAGGATGATAGGTGAAGATGAAGCAGGTCAGTGACCCCATCGTGATGGATTTTACAAGAATTTAACACGATGGTTTCCAGGGGGAACCACGTGGAGATCGACTTAATAGGGCATATTGCTAGCAATGGGACTGTCAAACTCCATTGCTAACAATCCCTTTCCCCCTCTTATACGGATATTTCAGGCGGAACTACCGTACCTACTGTCTTACCTCTGTATTTTCATCCTTTAAAGAAACCACTATCTATGCATTTACAAAGGTCAAAAGGAAATGATGAGAAAACGCAATAAAAAATATAAAACGACTCCCCACCAGATGGAGTAACAACCTCAAATGCATTGCAAAAAGTCAGTGTATGCAAGCGACTCAGGACTATTCCTTGTGGCAGTCTATAGCGGAAACTTATGTTCAACATTAGACAGACAATGGCTTGGCAAATGGCAAAAAAGATTATTGGATTTCTTTTATGTTACGAGTATATTCAATTATTCATTTAATATTTCTTAGAATGATTCAATATGTACATTCCCATTTCGCTGTTAGTACGCTGAAAAACATATTTCTTTAATCACATTGAATATGACATGGCGTCTTTGAAAACAAATAAAAGCCCATTTCACAGAATAAACGTATTTCGTAAGTTATAATGTTACGAATTATTTTTATCCTATTATTTATTTATTCCTAACTGTTGTTTTTTTTTATACCACTGAGGTGGCAAACAAGCATACGGCCCACCGGATGGTAAGTGGTTACCGTAGCCTATGAATATCTGCATCATCATCTCTGAGACCGCGCAGTATGCGACCATTGAGGCTGTAGGACATGAGGACGAACTCCCTGTCGATGGCAAGCCGTACGATGGTAGAAAGTGGCTGTGGGCATCATATTGAACAATTCCTCTGAGCACAATCCATTGTACAGGCGATAGAACACGCAGAGTGAGGTAAAACCTCTCCTAAGACTTAAGGGTTCGATACCGCTTGTGAGCCTGGGATCATCGACAATTCTCATCTCGTCGTTGCAACGAGTTGAAAGGTTCAAGCTGGTATTTAGGTGCTCCGGCCCATAAGTGACAGCAATACTCCATGTGGGGCCGGATATGCGATTTGTACAGCATTAATCGCTGATCCGGCGTGAAGTAATGCTTCGCTCTATTGAGCACACCGAGTTTTTTAGATGCCAGCTTCACCTTATCTTCGAGGTGGCCACGGAATTGTTGTAACATGAGTGCAGTATTAAATTGTCATTGGCAATAGATTGGGATTGCATCGATGTTGGATTCAAGAGTTATCCTACTGTTTGTTTGTTCGTTTATTATTTTTATTGTTTTTTTTTTTATTTTGACTTTAATTAAACTGAATTGAATTTAATTGCTTTCTATTTGTATACTATTTTTGTTTGTTTTGTTTTTATTTCGTCTCGTTTTGTGCGCTACTGTGTGGGTCGCATGCTTCTTCGATTAAATTATTTCTTTCTTTTTTCTTTCTATATCCATTATCAACCGACTTGATAAAGAAGGAGGGTCTCGATTTTGTTGTAATCTTTTTTTATCTTTGTTACCTCAAAACACCGTCTGTTGTAAGAGGATTTGGAAAGATATTCTTTTACGAGTATCTCAATGGATATGCTTATAGATTTTTCCCATAGATATTGTATCAAAATCAGTTTAGTACTTTAATATTTAATTCGCAATAACTGGTTTACCACAATTAACAGAATTTGTTATTTATTAATTATCATTAATTATTATTATCATTAATTATTACCAGAGAGATATTGTTTTCACACTTATATTCCTGAAGGTGTAACTTAAAATGTGTGATGTATTTTATTTATTTATTTATTTAACTCTTTATTGCACCATAAATAAAAATATACAATGACAAGTGAATAATTCAAGTGAAATACAGTAACATAAATACAGATTGAATAACGGTACAAAAGGCGATCTTATCGCTACGGCAATCTCTTACAGACAACTTTTGGTTAAAAGAAAACAGATGTATGTTGATACATCTAATAAAAATGGTGTATTTCATTAATCTTCCTACATTTGAAATCCACACTAAGCATGGGTAATATCCGATATCTATATATTGAGATCATTTAGAGATTGATAACCACCCATTGCGATATCGCCAATACCAGTCGGATATCTTTATTCTACTGGTATGGACAGTATCGCAATGCCATTAATTAAATAATTCATTACAAGCAGGTTCTTCTTTTCGATTTTAGATAACCAATAGTTAATATATCTGTTATTGGGCCAATATATGTATAGATATTGTCACTACATTATATAGATATTGCTATACTCCCCCCCCCCCCCCAACACGCTCTCCTCCCTCTTAATCCACACGTACAAAGTAGCGGACAAAAAGCTAGTTTATAATAGCAATATAAGTGGGAATATAAAATATTATAGTACATATATTACGGCCCTCTTAAACTAATCTACCTAATTCCTTTCACTTGAATATTACATGCTAGGCAACATTCTTATGTGTTGCATTAGAAGACTGACTATTTCTTAAACGTTTGAATATTTATATGTTATAGTTAAATTGTTATTTACTAACAGTTTGCCATGACTTTGCCTTACAGCAGTGTTGCCAGATTGAATATTTGTTTGCGTAATTTTGGGTAAATTTGATTGTCTCCGTGAAATTTTGGAGAAAATAAATTGTCTGGGAAATTTTTGGACAAGAATGGGAGAATTTGGATAATTTTCTGACAGTTTTGATAATTAGAAACCGTACATCATCATCATCATCATCTCAGTCGTTAACTGTCCACTGTTGAATATATTTCTCCCCTATAAAGAGGGTATTGCCAGTAGTTGCACGCTTGGCAGACTGTTGGCAACCGCAATTAGGACTTGGTGATGTTTTAAGACGGACTTTGCTGCCTATCCCTCGACCATTAAGTTCCCTTAGTCCTTTCTTATGACATCTATGAGATGTTTCCTCCCACGAACACTCAGGTTGTGGAATGAGCTCCCTGCCGAGGTTTTCCCAAGAGACTACAGCATGGGGTTCTTAAAAAGGGGGTAAAAAGGTTTCTTCAGGGTCGGCAACGCACGCGTAATGCCTCTGGTACTGCAGGTATTCATAGGCTACGGTAACCACTTACCATCAGGTAGGCCGTATGCTTGTTTGCAACCTCAGTGGTATAAAAAAAAGTCTAGTTTTAGATTATATAGACAGAGTGTCTCCACACAACAAAGAATCAAAGGCATAACATATAAGAATACCGAACTGTAGTAACTTGTATATTAAGTGTAACGTGTATGTGTAAAGTTTTTTTCCAAAAACAAACAAATTATTGCTATGAGTTCATTTAATGTATCATTCAAATTTCAGAATACTTAGATTTAAGTACATCATGTTTCATAAATGAAATTTTAGTGAACACGTTTTAAATAATAATTCTGGAGTTGTTGTTTATTTAAGTAATGTTAAATTGTTTAATTATTATTAAAAAATAATAAGTATTTTTTTTTTATATAACTTAGAATGGCAAACAAGCTGACGGCCCACCTGATGGAAAGTGGTAACCGTCGCCTATAGACACGAGCAGTACCATGGACATAACAGAGTATACTGTTTCGCCCATGATACCCCCCATGCGTTGCCATTCCTGAGGACTGAAGTGTTATTCCTCTGTACCCTGTAAATTCACCCCATATCCCACCCTTCAAACCGAAACACAGCCATGCAAACACAACTACTTCACGGTTGAAACACGAATGGGACAGAGGTACCCAAGCAATCGACTTTTGTACAAAGTCTCCCTCTGATGTTAAATTTAAATGTAATGTAATTTAAATGTAATAATAATGATTTAATCCTGACGTGAGGCCCCAGCATAGAAAAGGTCACTCCTTTTTTCTCGTGAGTGTCGTAAGAGGCGATTAAGGGAAGACGAAGGATGGGCAGCGGCGTCCCTCTTAAAACATCACCAAAGCCTAACTGCAGTCACCAATCTGAATGCCAAGCATAGAAATCACTAGCAAAACCCCCTGAGGGAGAAGCTTATGTTCAGCAGTGGACAGTTAAAGGCGGATATGATGATGATGAATAATTTATTCACGGTGATATAATTATTAATGATTGAAGAATGATGCATGCCGTTGTGATTCGGTATATGCGTCAACTTGTTTTATAATCTATATCTTCTATACTTATAATAAATGTGTAGAGAGGTCAATTCTGTACATGAAATATATTTCCAAAATAACTATCAGGGGTGATTAGTGATCAATACTGATGCCAAAAATGCAATCAGTAAAATTTTTGTTATCTGTCTGTCTGTCTGTATGTTTCGTTATAGAAACAAAAACTACTTGACAGATTTTAACGAAACTTGGTACAATTATTCTTCATACTCCTGGGCAGGTTATAGTATACTTTTCATCACGCTACGATCAATAGGAGCAGAGCAGTGAAGGGAAATGTTGGGAAAACGGGAGAAGTTACTCCATTTTTAAGCTTCCGTCGCGTGTGCAGCCTTAATGGCCACTTTTTAAAATGTTAAAATATCCACCCGTGCGAAGCCGGGACGGGCCGCTAGTATAATATAAAATAAAGGAATCCGTGGCAGCACAATGCTACTGCTGAATTAACATGAATTTGACCCTCACTACGGACCCGAGAAGACAAGACGATGAACAAAGGTAAAATTTGATGGGAACGAGTTACTTTACTAACAAGGTGATAATATACTTATTTTTTTATTATGTTTACCAACTAAGAGAGCTTGACGGTTTCCCAATTGGCTCCTTTAGCAATCACAATATATGAAACATAATAAAATTTAATAAAATTGGACACTTTCTAAATAATTTATTGCTACTCTGTAAAATTCGACAAGTTTATTTTTTCAAATGACAAATTTGCAAGTCAATATATCGAAGCTCGCATACTGGCTGATGAGAATTAGAGCGACTCCGAGCACAGCCCTCATCATAGACCCCTGAGTAATTTGAAGCTTTTGCATACGGGCAATCGTGTAGAACCATGTTTCGATTCCATAGGTTATCACTGGCGACACGCACTGGTTAATGACCTTCGTCTTTAAACTTTCAAGTATTTGAGGAACGCTGCCCAGCCGAGCGATTTCTATCGGATCTATTAATTGTAACTATATATAGATAGTTCTAACAGATGTCATAGATGGTGCGTATTGAACAACCATATCTCTGTATTGAGCGACTGTAAACTGCATTATAGTTTACTTTTATTAAACAAGCTTCCCAGAACAAAGATGGTGTGGAGTAGCTCAATTCTAAATCATACTAAACTAATTTTACCATTATAAAAAAAAAATACAATTTACTGTTACCTGGCAATTTATTACTTGCAAATTGTAAATAATTTAAAGAGGAAAATCACATTTATTAAACGATGCAATAATTTATTAATTTTCTTTTTTTTATTATTTGATTGAGATTATTTTGATCTATTAATTTGCTTTGGCTCGTTTAGAGCTCAAATACATATTGTAAAACGTGCATTGAATAAATGGAATTCGGGGATTGAAATAGTAAATTTTCGAGTGTTAGCAATCGCACAGATACTAATGGTAGCGGAATTAAATAACATATTTGTAGTCAAATAACCAGTGATATGGAATTCTGAAAATATTACCTAATTCACTGAAATATATTTTTATAGCGGGCAAAAGAGTATACAACCCGCCTAAATGATTACGGCTGCACATAGGCACCCGCAACATCAGAGAAGAATGCAAATGTGTTGCCGGCTTTTTAGGAAGGAATATACTCTTATCTTAAAGGTTTCAATGTCGTATTTGTTCGGAAACACTGCTACTGGGAGTTAGTTCCATACTTTACTTGTATAACGTATTTTAAATATTGAGGAATATATATATTCCTCAATATTTAAAAGTTATAACACTACATTTTTTATGCAACTTAGAATGGCAAACAAGCTAACAGCCCACATGATAGGAAGTAGTAACCGTCGCCTATAGACATGAGCAGTACCATGGACATAATAGAGTATACTTATGATAGCCTCCATGCGTTGCCATTTCTAAAACCTCAGGTCATATTCCTCTGTACTCTGTAAATCAGTCTGTAACTCTGTATCTCTACATGTTTGTATCAGAGAGGGTTAGATGATAGAGTTTAATATAATCGTCGTAAACAAAATATAATGCATTATTATTTGATTTCGAAAGTTATGAAACAATAATATAATATCTCTGTACCCTTCAATTGTCATGAGGGAATGAATGAAAAGTTTATTGCTGTCCTTCAAGAAAGATACGATTACATAAAATATATAGACAAAAAAGCATTACAAAAATCAAGGTAAAGACGCAATATTTGGTGGCCTCATCGCTAAATAGCGATCTCTTCCGGGTAACCTTAGCTTCGAGAGAGATAATCAGATTTATTCCTTATTGAAACGTAACGACACTAATGATGGCGTATCGAATAATGTAAATTATTTTCATCAGATAAATCATTTGTTTTTCGAACGACTTCAAAAAGAAAGAAGTTCTCAAATCGGTTGTATTTTTTAAGTCTGCCACCTCATGCATTATCCATCAGTGACAAACCGATTTAGATTTTTTTATATGTATACTTATAGATTTATCTTATAAAATTTTTATCAAAATTAGTTCAGTATTTAAATCAAAATAATTGGTTTGGCCACAATTGAAATAGATTTATTTCATATAACACAATCTTACAATTTAGTCATTCATGCTGGTAGGTATAAAAGTATGGCAATTACCATTTGGATTTGTCTGTCATTTACTGCTGAACATACTGCTAAATCACAACTACAATTACAAACTATCTTTATTTCTGCTCCTTGCCATATTTAGAGCCATCATGCCATCTTGTATATTTAGTAGTTCTACACTAAACATTCTCAAATCATAATTTATTTACTTAAAGTAAACTAATTACGTTTCGTTCCGTTACGTTTTCTTTATTCCTTTCTTTCAAACTGAGTGTCAATTATTTTCTATTACCTCCTGAAATTTTTAATTTTCTTACATTTTAAATATTATAATAGCAATCTTTTTTTTAATTTAAAAAAAAATTCGATATAATTTATTTATAAAATATACCATAAATATTACGAGTCTTATCTTGTTTACAAGTTTAAACTTACACTTTAAAACTGTTCTAAAAAAAGTAAAAAAAAATATTTTTAAAAATAATGATTAGCTATAACCCCAATTTTCTCTAAGCTCTGTCTGTAAAATCTACAATGGAATGTTATTGCCACCTTCGAGAATCAATGTTCTACACTGTGTTTGTTACAACGTATCAAAATATATCGATAACTTGATTCGTACGAAGCGAGCATCGCAGTTTGTTTGCGTGCGTAATATAAAATGCAAATTGAATTACGCAACTCACGTGACCTGATAGTTCAATTTCTAATTTACAGTCATGTTTAATCAATTGATATAACATTTGTTATGTTAACTTTCACACATAACCAATTCCACTATTTGGTTCAAGGGCATAAATAAATTGTCAACACGACTCCATAGCCGTCTATGTTGTATCCAAAATGCAGTTTTAAGTGAGAGACTTCGAGTATTCTGAACAGTTGTACAGAAATCGTTGACGCGTTATGCGAGTGCATAATTATTATATTTCGTACGTACCGGCCAGTCGTATTTCGTTAACGGAACGTGGAGTTTGTGTTTAAAAATGGAATCTATAATTTATTTTTCGAATACAATTTTTTTTATTTTCATATTTGTGTTTTGTATAAATGCACGTAGTGTCAGTGATAGCAAGTGTAAGTATTATTATGATTTTTTTTATTATTTTCAATAGGTACATATTACTAAGTATGTATTATATTATTTATTATAAAAAGGTATGTGACCTTTTTATATGGTTTAATTAACTCATTTATTTATACAATTTAAATTATGTTTTTAATTATCACGAATATTTTTTTTAAATTGTCCTACTTAATTTCTATTTTATGTAATTACATCAATAATTATCTTCATTTATATTTGTAGGTATATCTTGTTTATAGTATTTACATATTAATTTATTTAATACTATATTTCCCGTATGTGGTATTCGTTCTTAATCCCGTTGCAAATTTGGGTAACTCTTTTACAATGCTGAATTTTAAACTTCATATGTTTCGCCAATCCGCCTGCCAATCGTGGCAACTGTTGGCATCACTCTCCTATGGGGGATACCTATGTCCAGCAGTGGACAATTAACGGCTAACAAAATAATATAAAATGCTTCACTTGTGTATCGATCTTAATCAATTTTATTTATTTTAATGCCAATTTTTAATACATTAGCGTCACAGTATATTCTGTGATCTCCATAGCTCTATTAATATCACTAAGCGACAGTTTTTTTTAATGAATGATAATGGAATGGTAACCCCATTCGCGCTAACGTTATACACTAGCGGGGTACCAGTGAGGGATGATAGGTGAGAATGAAAAGGTAGGTCAGTTAGCCCATCGCAACGAATACACTTGGAATTCAGCACGATGGTTTCTAAGGGGGACCACGTGGAAGTTGGCCTGACAGGGCACATTGCTAACAATGGGACTAGTAGTTCGCTTTACTAATAATCCCTTCTCCCCCCACTTAGCGACAGTTACGATAATATATTATATCAGATGGGATGAAAATAAATAAATCATTTCATCGGCAATAGACATATTGACATAGAAAATATTTCCGGTCGAAAGTGGGTTGAGAAGTTAAATTATATCTAAACTTTGACAAACTACGACTTCCGAGTTCCGATTTCAAACAGCTGTCAATAACTTGACAAGTATATTTATACTTCCTATTTATTGACAGAATTTTGCATATTCGTTCCCCTAGAGGAGTGGTAAAATTATAAATTATCGATTATTCGGCAGTAAATTATCGATCGATGTATACAATTTTGTGTGTATATAATTTACCATCACCAAAATCAAATCAACAGTTACCTGATTTATTGATGAACATAGGCCTCCCCCCATAAAATGGTAGAAATGCATTAGTTGGTGTTATCCGCTACATACGGTATGGATGAAAGGACCGAGAAAAAATGAGGTAGATAGATAGATAACCTTTATTACCAGTAATAAAAAAATAAAAAAATCAACAATAAAAAGAAAAACAGCATTAATTTTGTGTATATCTTCTCTATACAGTTATTTACCGTATTCTGTAACGAAATACAAATGCGTGATATGCAAACTATTGATAATTAAATATTTTTACCATCAACTTAATTATTTTAATTTAAAAACTAAACTACTAAATCGATTGTGGTAAAATTTATACAAGACCAATCTGAAATGTCGTTTCAGACCAAAAAAAAAAAAGAAAAAAATTACAAATCGGTACATAAATAACGAGTTGAGAACCCCTTCTTTTTGGAAGTAGGTTAAAATTTTAACCAACAATTATTACACGGACAATGCCAGTATTTAATTTTGTCTTTATAAGTAGGGAATCGTAAAAAAAATATTAATAAATTAACACTCTGTGGGAACGCCATTGTGAGTTGCCCGCATGCAGGTCAGGTGTTGCGTGAAGCATGTAAAGACAGAAACAAAATAATGCACGCGAATCATTTTTAATTTTTTTATGCAACTTAAAATGGCAATCAAGTTGACGAGGGAGAAAGGATTGTTAGCAATGGAGTTGGACAGCCCCGTTGCTAGCAATATACCTTATTAGGTCGACCTCCACGTGGTTCCCCCTAGAAACCATCGTGAACAATTCTTGTTGAATTCGTCACGATGGGTTAACTGACCTACTTCATCCTCACCTATCACTCTTCACTGGTGCCCCGCCGGTGTATACCGATAGCGCGGGTGGGGTTACCATTTCATTATCATCCATTTAAAAAAAAAATCAAGTTGACGGGATGAAAAGTAATGGAAAGTGGTAACCGTCGCCTATAGATATGAGCAGTACCATGGACATAACAGAGAATACTGTTTCACCTATGAATTCTTTAAATTCTTTAGGAATTGCATTATACAGTTTCGTACATTTAATAACAATATTTTATTTATATTGCTCAGAAAAACTTTTTCTTTGACTTTTCCTTTACTACTAGATATAACTCATTTTGCCAATTTGGTATTACCGATATTTTATCAATTGTGCAATACCTATATTGAACTGAGAACTTTGAAAATCAGAATTGACCCAGCTTCTCCTGTGTAATCAATTACGAACTTCATTTTTTTATTTAAACCTACGAAACATTTTACTTCCATAACTCAATTTGCAATGGACGACAGAAAACACCCGAGTGAATTAAGTTTAATTTAATATACAGTATTAAATTAGTTACGTATGATATTAAATTAGTTCACACCTACTTTTCACGTTGATGTGTTCACCGAAAAAAGAACTCTCTTAAGTAGGAATTGAGATTGATTTTGAACTGTCACTGTACAAATGTACGTCTAAAACAAATAGTTTTATTTGAGTAAATGTATTATTTTAAAATCAACATGTTCTAAATTTAAAGTAGTAGTTTGAATATAAAGTACGTTCTCTGTAGTTTGGATTTAAATCTATTTACTTTGACGTTGACATTTTGACAGCTGTTTATTGTATGTATGTATGTATTGTATGTATGTATTTAGTTTTGTTATATAAAGTTCATAAAAAGATAATATAGTATATAAGACAATATATTACCAGTAAATGGCCTAATATGAAATTGGCAAAATGAGTTTTAACGAAATGCCAACCTAAAAAGTACTTTTGCACGAAAGTGGATGGATGTATGTATCGGAAAATATCTAGATTAATCTATTATGATCATTCAAACCGTATTTTTCAACCAACTTAAAAGAAAGGAAGTTCTCAATTCAGTTGTATTTCTTTTTTTTAAGTTTATTATCAGATAACATTATTTTTTATCTGATAGTACTTTTAAATTAGTCCTTAATATATTTTTAAATAAAAATAACTGTTTTTATCATGGTTGATTTTTTTTTTTGTTATAACAATCTTTATTCTAAGGGAAACAGTTTAGTCAAGATTCTCCAGAACTAGTGTGCACGCATGACGACGTTATAAAATGGCATGAAGCCTCTGGTATTTAAGTCCCTGTGCCAGCCTTACAACAGTCTTATCATAAGGACTAACAGATATAAAGTAATGCAAATATTAGAAGCTAATTATGACCAACGTGCACGTGACTCCCCTAAAAGAACCATCTACCATCGCACGAACTGTACGATTGTTTACCACCTTTTTGATATCTCTTCATAGTATAAAACGAAGTTGCTTTCTGCCATCTGTACACTTCGATCTTTTAAACTATGCAACGGACTTTAATGGAATTTTTATCAATAGATAGCACACTTTGAATAATTATTCAAAAGGAAGATTTATACGTTTAGTTTTCTTTTTCCGTGTTAATTTATTGAAAAATGACGATAATTGGTCAAGATCTCAAGATTTCTTGAGGGCTTCCATCGAAAACGATGTCTAATCTATTTAAGATATAACAAAACAATGTATGTTCGAATTGTCTTTTATAGGTCAATAAAATAGTCTGCGATAACATATGTCTATCTTTTAAGGAATAAAATTTCTACCAGAGGGAGACTGTACAAAAATCGTTTGCTTGGGCACCTCTGTGTCCATTCGTGTTTTTATTTTGAATCAGTTGTGTTTGCATGACTGTGTTTCGGTTTGAAGGGTGGGATATAGCAGTGAATTTACAGGATACAGAGAAATAACACCTGAGTCTTCAGGAATGGCAATGCATGGGGAGTATTATGGGCGAAACAGTATACTCTGGCATGTCCATGGTACTGCTTATATATAGGTGACGATTACCATTTTCTATCAGGTGGGTCGTCAGCTTGTTTGCTATTCTAAGTTGCATAAAGGCAAAGCTGGGAAAGGTTGCTAATTTTTTATATAAAAAAGTTTTTATCCTATTATTTTACTTTCCTATAATGTACACCTCAAACCTCCCAAAGAGGGTTGACGTCAGGCAAGTGGCCGGTCATAAAATTAAAAAACCAAATCTTTTTGTAATATAGCTAAAATCATATTACGCCGACCCCAAATGATTGGGATAAGGGTAGGAAGATGATGATGAATGTACACCTCAAACTCATTTTATCAATTTTTCATATATAATTTATAGATAGAAATTTTAAGTCGATATTTCACAGAGAGTGCGAAATGGTGACATTGAAATGATTAGCATCATTTTAAAGGAGAGGTTTCAACAGCGTCGTTGAACTTACTCCCAAGGAAACTTGGGATGAAAAACGACAAAAAGTTTTGAGTTTCCCAGTTTTTGGTCGTGTCGTGTAAGTATGGATGGGAGGCTTTAAAATGTTCATCGTATTTCGACCTAAACTTCTTTGATATATAATAATAATATAGTTTATTTTCGGGAGTAGAGAATTCCCTTAAAATCACTTCTTATTAGTCTCCCTGTATATATGTAGATGGAATGTGAATTTACAAGGTACAGAGGAATAACACCTGAGTCCTCAGGAATGGCAACGCATGGGGAGTATCATGGGCGAAACAGTATACTCTGTTATGTCCATGATACTGCTTATGCCTATAGGCGACGGTTACCACTTTCCATCAGGTGGGCCGTCAGCTTGTTTGCCATTCTAAGTTGTATATAAAAAAAACACTTGCATACAAATAAAAAAAATATGTTATTATAAATACAACGAAGCGTTTCTAGAGAGATACTTCATCTTAAGGTTATTAATCTATACCTTTTAAGTAGGTTACACAAATTTACACTGTGTTTTG